CGCGGAGCTCTAGGATCAGTTTCATGAACTAACCACTTTTAAGGATGTTATGGATCTTCCGGTGGACCATTCTGCAGTCCCCAGAGTCCAAATTCCGTTCATAAATTCAAGTTAATTGTAATAAGACGTCTATGAATGGATTCGAAAAAAAAACACGGAGCTCTATGATCAGTTTCATGAAATGACCACTTTTACGGATGCTCCGGATCTTCTAGTGGACCAACCTGTAGTCTCCAGCGTCCATATTCCGGTCATAACTCCGAATGAATTGTAATAAGACGTCTATAAACGGTTCCGAAAGAAATACGGAGCTCTAGGATAAGTTTCATGAAATGACCACTTTTACGGATGTTCCGGGTCTTCCGGGAGGGCCAGACTTGTGATTTTCCAGATGCAAAATTTTCTCAAAAGATGGTCATCCATCTTGTTAATAACTTTTCAAAATATCCAACCATAAGTGTTTGTCCTCAATTAGCTCTAATCCCATATGGTACGTGTATCCGTTAATGCCGGTCCCTATTAACCGTACAATAGGAGTGTTGACTGTACTTGCTTATTGAACTAATAACATTATTATTTGATTACCTAACAATAATTCTTCGAGATCAAATTTATGGGATCCTTAAACCATTATTTGTTTTCTTTTAAAGAGCATGATTGTGAGTTTATAAAATGTCTCGAAGTGGATCGCAGTCAACGAAAGATTGGAACCATTTTTTCGATTAATACGTGTCACTTTTTTATTATTTTAAAGCCACTATGGTCATTATTTTCTTTATATCATACCCACTACCCGAGCAAAGCTGAAGATCAAATGGAAACCAAAATTTGCTGTTATGATGTAACTTATTTTGAATACTCCAGTTGATCTCATTTTGGTTGACTTAACGGTTAACACAGCAAAAATTAGAGTAAACTTTTACACTGTTGAATCAAACGGAAAACTAATCTTGCTTTCAAAGAAATCAATTTGATTTCTGATTTTGCATTCATAATGTTTAACTGAATGCGGGCCTGTCGTAAATCGTTAGCATCCATGCTTCTTACGCTGAAAGACTTGAGCTCAAATCTCTCCCCGGGCAAGTAACGAATGATCTAAAATGTGTTAAACAAAACAAATAAACAATAATCGTTGGTTCAACGACAGATGAGCTTAAATTAAATTTTAAACAAGACGTTAACATCAGAACTTCAAGTTAAGTTGCTTTCATTAAACTGCATAATGAAAGCACAATATAATATCAGACTAATGTCGTGACAATTAAAATTAAAATGAGTTTTCATAACGATAGGAACTGCAATCTTTAATATCGATTTGCTTTCATTTTGTTAACCGACTTTGCTCGGGTAAGAATTTAAGGGAAATTCTTAGGATGAATCTGAGGAAGATTCCAAGATAACCCTTAGGGGGATTTCAAAGAATTCCAATATTAATCTGAAGAGTATGCCAAGGGACTTCTGAGACATTGTTCATGGAAAATTTAAAGAGAGCTTTGTAGAAAAAAATAAACAAATTCTCATGAGAATTATCAATAATTTCAACATTATTTGAATTGAAGGATAAACTGCAAGAATTTCCTGGACAGAGTTCTTATAGTGTTTTATAAATTATTCCAGAGAGTATCCTAAGGCTGTTCAACGGGAAACCTGAAATGAACTTTGAGGACATTCTAGGAGAAGAGACAAACCAGACTCTCCGTAATACTGACAAAAACAATATTGCAGAGCTGGTAGCAAGTCACTTTTTAGTGACTTGGTCTCTTTTTTCAAGCCAGTCACTAAAAAGTCTCTTTTTTAAGGCCAAGTCACTGAAGTCACTGTTTTTCGTAATCAGTCACTATTTTCAACTTTTTTAGCATGAATTCTTTGCTTTGTGGCGTTTAATCGTCTTTGTCTATCTACAGGGTGTCTACTCATTTTTATTATTAAATTTATCTGAGTTTTCCAGGTTTTTCCAGTACTTTAACGGGTAAAATTCAGGTTTATAATAAAAAAAAGCTATATTTCAATCAGTTTTAAAGATACAGCTTTACAATCAAATCCATGAATGTTGAAGTTAAACACTTCCTTAATTTCTCACTTAATAAAGTTAAAAAAAAACTTACTTAATTTGAGTAAGTCCAAGCTGAAAATACGGGGAACTTACTGGAAGCTTTAAGAACCTCAAAGCAGTTCTTTTAGCATCTGAACATTTTCGGGAACTTCTATGAAGTTCTTAGAATTTCAGAGAACTTCACAGGTGTCAAGCGAACTTGAGAAATATAGAAAACATGAGGGGTATTATGCAAATTTTTAAGAAGTTCTAAGTACCTAGAGATTTTTGGGGAATTTCACATCTTAAGAGCAGTTTCCGTAGCTTTAGTCCAAACTTTTGGAGCAGTTTAAAGATCTATAATCGGTAAATTTTGAAAAAAAAAATCAGGATAGTTCCATGATGTGCTGAAAAAAAAAACGAGATGTCCCTTAAGATGTTCCGAGAATTTCAGGGAAGTACAGAGCCCTTCAAAGAATTTATGAAAACTTCAGAAATATTTCAGAAACTTCACAGAAGTCCAGAGAATTTCAGGGAAATTTAAAGGTGTTTACGGGAATTCCATTTATTTTCAAGCAGTAGAACCAAGATCTTCAATAGAATTGAGAGCTTGAGGGAAGCTTCTAGAACATCAAGACAGATTAGAGAATCAAAGAGCAGTTCAAATAATTTCAACGAAATTGTAGAAACCCTAAAGAAGTTTCGAGAAACTCAGGGTATTTCCGGATACTTCAGCAAAGCTCCAAGAGAATTTCTGGAACGTGATAAAAATTATATGAACATCCGGAAAACGTGAGAGTATTTTAAGCATGGAGATTTCAAGAACTTAAATAAAAAAGCGAAAAGAAAATCAACAAATTTCCATTAATTAAAAAAATGTGAGAACTTTTAGCAAGCAGTGATATCTTCAAGAAATTCCAGAGAACTTCTAATAAATTTAGATACTTTTAGATAGTTTCATGCTATTCAGCGAAGTTTCGAGTACTTCAAGGACGATCAGTTAGCTTCAGAATAATTCCATTAACTTAAAAAAATGTGCAGAGACTTACAAGTGGTTCCGTGGAAAGATGGGTTATTCCATGAATTCTAAGATTGATTCGAAAACGACAGAAGCGTCAGGGAATTATTAATAGATATCAGAAAATTTGCCGGGTTATTAAACAAATTTAGAGAATTTCAGGTAACCATATATAAGTTCAGAGAAAATTAGTGAGCGTTTATAATGGTTATAATACTTGAAGGAAATTGTCGAAACTTAAAGGCAGATCATTAAATTTCAGTAAAGTTGCGGATTTTTAAAAAATACTGATAATTCAGAGCAGTCTAGAGAACTTTAAAGAAATTCAATAATCGTTTAGGCAGGAAAGTCTAGACTATTGAAGAAGTTTTAAATTAGTGTCGATAATTTAAGGGAAGTTTCATGAACTACAAAAAAATTCCATGAACATAACGGGAAAAGTTCCTGAAATTTAGAAAAACTTCGAAAACTTCACAGAAGTTTAAGAATTTAATGAGAAGTATTGTGAACATCTGGTTAGTTTCTCAAACTTCACAAGAACTTCAAAACTTCCCTTGGAATTCTACTCACATTGAAAGTATCCTAAGAATTCATTATCATTTCTCCTCACAAATTCCTTAGATTTCTTCTCATAATTTGGCGACCCCTACTGAATTTATTTTCCGAACTCCTTTGAAGATGTTCTTGAGTTATTCTCTGATTTAAATGTAATCCTCCTTTTAGTATTTTCAAAAAGATTCCAAGGACTTATGCTCCAGATTTGTTTTGTCCCACAAACACAAAATTATCCTTCTTGGAATTTTGCTCTGATGGAGTTGTACTCCTGAGAAATTTTCAGAGTTTTGATATTGCTTTTAATTCAATTCAATTTCTTGAAATTCTACTCAAAACTATCAGACTTCACAAGAAATCTAAAATTCCACAGAACTACCTTAAAAGCAGATTGCATTTGATGTTTTTCTGAAGGTTTTTTTTCCAGAACATCTTTGAAATGAGGTCCTTAGAAATTATATTAAAATTCCACGAGCTTTTTTTTGCATGGATTTTGTGTTCAGATTCTTGAATATTTCTGGAAGTATTATAGATTTTAAGTGCAGAACTAGTACAAATTTAAAATTTCTAGAAAATATGCATGTTCCAAAAAAAAACATTTCAAGTCTCTGTTTTTTTAATTTATTTGTTACTGAAGATTGGTCCACTGTGGATCTATAAAGTTCAAAGTGTGGATGAAAATAACGGGAAAATTTTAATTCTTGTATTTTTAAATTCATTCGTTTCTTTAAAATATCCTCAGTAAGAAAATTATTAAATTCTCTGAGCCTTCCAGGTAGTATAAGGAAAAAATAAAATTTCATGATGTTTCCCGGTTTTGCAGGTTTTTGCGGTTAGTAGACACCCTGACTAATACCGTGGGTTTGGCCGTAAACTTTCTATTGAATCTTTCGCTTTAAAGGTTCATATCGTACATAAGTGTTTATGAGATACTTATTGAATAAGTCTAAAACATCAAGCATTTGTTTTCTCTTAGGTCACTTTTTACTCACTATTTTTACAACTATAAGTCACTATTTGGTCACAAATTCCTTCAACATGGTCACTAAAATCACTATTTTTGACAACAGCGATCACTACCAGCCCTGATATTGGATTCTAACGAAATTTACGAAAACGATTCAAAGATAACCTGTAAACAAATAGTTCTATTAGCCCTTACAAGATAATTTGAACACACATTTTTTAAATGTTATCTGATACAAACACATTATTTAAGGTCCAAGATTTGGAATTCAAGATTCTGAGACTTTATAAAAAATAACCCTCTTTGTCTATGTATCCTGCAATTGTTAATAAATTTAGCAAAGAACATTGTATAAACTCGCTACAATAGTTGTAAGTGTTTGATCAAACTATTCTAATTAAATTCTATACATTATTCTTAAACCCTTGCAGAGAAAAAGGAATCGAGTTGAACAGCTTAAGATAGTCAAGCTCAAATGAAGAATCATGCCGCCAACCAGAAAACAACCATCTTTACACATCAACATCTAGGTACCAGCAACATCCCAGCAAGTTTGAATCGAATCAGAATAATCCGTGGAATCCACTTCTTCAGAAATGAAGTGTTTAGTATCATCACCATTAAGCTATCCGATGTGCAGCTGATTCCCATACTTGATATAAAATCCGTTTTTTTTTCGTTTTCCCACAAACTCCTTTGAAATTTCAGATGAATGAACTTTAGGACGACAGCGACGTTCTTCTATTTTTTTTTTGCTTTACGTGAATCATCCTTCAGAATAATCTGATCAGCACAGTGCGGTCAGTGAGAAGTGAAAGAAAATCAAATAATTCAAGCAAAGAGTGCGAGAAATAAAAAGAGGCGAATGAGAGAGTGTGTGCGCGAGAACATGCATCCTGAGTTATGTTTTTGTCTGAAATTTTTCTCCGGTTTATATTATTGCAATTAAGTGATGTCTCACGATCTCGTTTAACAAATCCCGTCAGTTTGTAGTTCAGTTACAGTTAAATGCTAAAAAGTAACAATTGTTAGCACTAAGCTACCGAGTAAGCACTTTAAGCGAAACAATACCGAACAAATGTAAGCCTCGAAAATGTTGAAGGTTTCAGGATGCAAACGCAAAGCTACACCAGTTTGTGCACATACGCATACAAGTTCACAGCCAAACAACACACTCATACACACAAACACACACACACATTGATCTATGAACACCTACTAAAAAACGAGATTCAGATTTCATCCCAATTCATCACGCTCACACATCAAGAGAACAAAATTTAGCACAAATGATTACACCATATAGTTTTTTTTCCTTCAGTTGGTTAGTGTTTATTAGTAGTAAAACGATTTATTTATCGTCTTGATTTGAATACACCGGACAACACAGTACGAGCGAGTAGGAGCCATCAAAATTAATCGATTTTTTTTAAACTATGTGTCATTTAATATTGTAATATTTAAATATAAATATATGTATGTTTAAATCCTATGTATAACAAAGAAGGACGAATTGATTGATTTAAAAGCATATATTAGATTCTTTATTATGAGAATGATTTTTCATTTCCTTAAAGTAAATGTTTATTTTTACAAGTAAAAGAGAAAACAAAAGCAGATCGATTATACTCTGTTGGAAAGGAAAGGAAAGGAAAAAGTGAGCAATGTCATACATTCTAATTAGCTAAAGCATGCAATTTTATATTTCCACCGTTCGGCTCGATCGCTACATTCATCTTAGGCGCTATTAGTGGAACAAAAAATCCATTACTAGCGAGATATTTTTGTCTTCTTTTGTATAAATTTTTAAAATATTTTTATTTTATAATACATTTGACATTTGATTGAAGATAATCGTTTTTGTGTTTTACTTAATTTATGATTTTCCGAAAATGCCTTATATATTATTTATTTTAATTTTTGGTTTATTATCATCCCAAATCCAAACAAAACTACTTGTTTAATGTGCTAAATGATACTAAAACCTGTAAAAAATCACCTTTAAGGTTTTTTCACATCGATTCTAGTTTTAACTACCTTTGTCAAAAGCAAACATATACGATCACGATCTCAAACTTGAAGAAAAAGGAACAACCATCCTTTCAATAAACAAAAAAATCAAATGATGAAGAATGTTAAAAACATAAACCCGAAGGATGACAGAGAAGAGAATCGCAAAAAAAAACAAAGCAAACGAAAGTACGAACCTGTTGCTGTTGATTTGTTCATTGTTTGAAAAACAGAGTAATTAAAGCGACAATGCAACCAATGTTGAATTGAGCAACCACTGGTCACCACCCCGGTTGCCCTTGGTTACGCACGGCACACGTATCCCTTAATGGCACTAATGACAAAACATCAATGTACTCACTAAACCCCTTGATTGAGACACGCGCTGTCTTTGTAAATCATTTATATAAATTAATATTATCCGTAGCGCAACGGCAAATCACTGGCATCTCTTGTATCAAATAGAATCTGCGCTATATACAATATACATGTGCTTTCGATGTTTATACCAGTATATTACAGTAAATATTACGCTACTATTGCAATTGTTTACCAGCTTTTGCGAAAATGAACTGAGCTTACGTTTGGTTTGTAGCATCGTGAAATTTAAGGAAAATGCTAGCATGTTCTCCGTATTCTTCGAGTAACGCGTGGCGTTAAGAAACTCTTTGTTACATTGGAGACGGAAAAGTGACACCCAAGATTGAAAAACTAAATTGCGACACTGGGAGAAACGTGACTTTCGTGGAATACGGAGATCCATCACTGCTTAATCTGCGAACGTAAATCAACTTCTTGCTGGAAGAGCGATCAGCTTTGCAGGTAGACCAAAATGGGAACATTGTTTCTTTTATGGACCAGCCAATAAGAAAGGATCGGAAGAAGAGTAAAACTGAACCGAAAGAAAATAAAATCAATCAAGTGATAACGAACAACATAACCTAGGGACAGAACCGGAAGACATTTTAGGCTAGGCGATAAGAATTTCCATGAGATTGAGGACAAATGATAGAATACAAAAGATTTTTTCAATATACAAAGCGCCGTAGTCGGAAGGTAGAAATCGGATTGTGATATTGAAGAAACACAAACTTTCTACAGAATTTTTGCTGATTGCTTCAACAAACTTGCACCGAAAATCAAACATTGCACTGAAAACAAATCTACAATACGGTAAGCTTCAAGAACCACCACCGATACGGAAAACCTCAGCCACATTTTTTGGATGATCTTTATGCCTCAAACGCGCGTAGATCGGTCTTAGAAGCTACGAGATGAAACCATCACAAATTCACAACTTTAGATTGCGTCTTCCTAAGGCACAGTAATAAAATCTTCGTTTAGTCACACAGTTTAGCTCACCAGCTTCACCCCCTCTCTTTGTAGTTGAAAATATACATTTTTGGAAACTTTAAAGATAGCGCAGCACACTGCCTAGAAAGCGACATCTTTCGAACCGGCCAAGATTTAAACAAAATTGACAACTGCCATCACACAATTTGACATCAACACTGCAGGCCGAGTCAATAAATAGTAAAAACAAACGAAACGTGCTCACAAAGAGTTGCAACTTTTCATAAAAGAAACGAACATGTTTACCTCAACACGTTTACACTATTTAGAAGTACATATCGCTTGCAATGCGATGTTTTGAAACTGCATTTTGAATTAGACAGCTTAAGGAATTGCAGCTTTTTGCATTTCTTCGACTAGTGCACCACTTTCATATAATTTTTCCCTTTCACTTTAAACGCCCACATTTGTTCATTACATCTTCCTCCAACATATCACTGGATAAGTTTTGGAATGCTTTTATACGATACTGGATCGCTTTTAGGAATGTTTTGAGAGGAATCCTTTACAAAGCATGCTTCAGCCAAACAATCAAATGTTATTCACGCGATTGTCGAAAGGAGAAAACTAAACAGAAACTCAACTTTAACTAGGAGTTAAATACCTTGGGGATGAAAATTGAAAATTCTATAACAAGACAGGTCCACCGTCTAAGTAAACAACACAAATCGAAAAATTTCGCAACGATCACTTTAGAAGGGAAGAAGAGCAGAATGAAATCAACTACAAAGTATCTACCTATACATATGTATATTCGTATATATATATAAAAAAGAAAAGCCCCCCATCACTTTGATAAAGTATATATATTTATATATAACGTGTAAACTGTCAAATACAACTGAGTGGAACCAATAAACCAAACTAAGCCCAATAAATGTGACGGCGGTGACGTTTATTAAGTGTCACATTAAAATGAAAGTAAAACAAAAACCTGTAAACACCCGTCACTGTTACAAACACACTGTAAAGTGAAAATATCTATTATAGGTACGTACCAGCAGCAGAGGCGTTTCTCGTCAAGCATATGCTGATGAAGATATGTAAAAGATAAACCCAGCCACAAAGGAAGACATTGCGTAGAAAACAGAAAACCAAGAAAGCATTTGATAATAAGAATGCAAACCTGTGTGTTGCACCAACAAAATGCTATGTGATTGTAGCCATCTGGAATGCTAAGAAACAGTGAATCAGAATAAAGAAAATGGTAACCAATTGTGCTGTGTGCAGTTTGATTCTTTTTTTTACCGAAATCCTGAAGTGTAGAATAAATGCATTTACAGTTTAGGGGGTATGGTGACCGGACAACAGACATAAATATATTAGCCATACGGATTTTGCTATACGTACGATTGTCATAAAGATGAATACGTTTACCATCATAGACGTTATCTATAATTTTGTTGCATTGTTTTATCCAACTAGAATTATAACTAATTATTTGTCTTATTCTTTAAAAGATAAAATCTTTTCCTAAAATTCAATCGAAATGATCACAAATAATTTCTATTTAGGAGTCGAGTCTTTATAATGAGGTGCTCTTAAACAGTTAAATTAGATTAAAAAATTCAATTGAAATGCTCACAAATAATTTCTCTCTTTGAGTTGAGGCAAAATTAAGTTTTTTTTTTTTTACATTATTCGATAAGCATAATTGAAATCAGTGTTGGAAAATATCAAATCTCACCAATGCCTAAGATCACGCTTGATTTTAGTACACAAAAAATCAACAAGCAAGCAAATGCGGATGATATTACAAGCTGTGATATCGTAGCTACGAATATCAAGCTAACAAAACTCACGAACTTGAATTCTAACCAAACCGTGGTGATTTTGAGTTCCATGATTTTCGCTTTACATCCGACCGCAACCTGAAACTGCCGTCACTGCTGGCGTGGCAGCAGAAGCATCGTGTTAGCCAAAGATGAAGGGTAAAAGGAGATAGCAAGTTATACTTTCTCTTTTTAAGAAAACGATGTGCAGCGGAATCATTTTTGTCCTGATGAATGTGGGCGTCTTAGTGGAATACCTGTATAATGACAGAGAGAAGGATGGAAAATACTAATCCTTCTCTCTCATTATTATCATTTTTGTGTCGAGTCAACTCTCAGTCTGATTTTGGCACGTAGTGAATAATCTCGCAATATCAAACGAGCTTGTAAAATCAATATTGAGAGCTTATGAGAGCAGACAAATATAATTTGATTGATGATCTTGCCACTGATTGAAATATTTTTCATTTAATACTTGACGAACATTAACGAATCGACGGAGCGTACAACAAACAACAACACTTGCAACCAGTCAGTACAAACGCCTCTTGCGTTGCCATATCTGCTCCCCCAATCCACTGCCCAAGCATTGAAATCTCCTGCGATGACGACTGGTCTCCGTCCTATGAGCTCTCCGGTGAGCCCATCTAGCATCTGGTGAAACTGCTCCATTGTCCATCTTGGGGGTGCATAGCAACTATATATAGGGTAGAGCACTACTTCATCGTAATCGCCCATTTCCGTTCTATCGATCAGAAAAGATCAATAATATCAATGATTTCACCGAGCACAAATCAAAAATAGGTTTGTTCCGATGCGTTAGTTCATTAGCTACAACATAAATCCTATTAGAGCGCATTGTATGAATATTTACGCTCATTGTTCTCAAAACAAAAGAAGCGCTCCTAACGAATCCCGTTTTTCTACGTTTATCCGTAGGCAGGGTGCCTTCCATTCATTTTGACTAAAAAAATGTTTTATGAAATTATGGAATAATAAGATAATATGATGATATTTTGTATGTGTAAGTAATAAGAAAAGATTGATAAGTTTGTGTTTGACACATCAAACCTGCAAATTTAGCTTTGAAAGAGTCACAATGAGCGTTTTTCTGATCACCTCTTCGCGAAGAGTGAAGAGCGAAGAGTGGGTGAGATAAATTACAAAATCGCTTATCGCGACTCTCATGTAGCAAAATTGGCAGGTATTATGTGTCAAATACAAACTTTACAATCTTTTCTTGTTGTTCACACTATCAAATTTTTTTCATAATATCTTATTATTCCATAATTTCTTAAAACATTTTTTGATTCAAAATGAATGGAAGGCACCCTATCCGTAGGACGAAGAAAATCTAATGGCGTTTCAATGCGTTAGGACGGAATTGAAACTCGTAAGACGAATTTAGAATCAAGAAGCAGTGTTAGATTTTAAACAATATCTCAACAATTTGTGACTCTTTTTCAAATCCAACGGTACGTATGGAAAGGTGAATAAATTTAGAAGTCATATTTGATAGAAATATTCCATTTTTTGCTCAAACCCGTTCAGAAAAGAGAGGTAAAGTGTGGGTTGTGCTTAGTAGGACGGAAATTAGATCAAAAACCCTATAGATTAAATTGATTTTGGCGATCACGAAACCTTCATATGAGCCCACCACCACTTGTTGAATGGGATACCTACCCATGACTTGTATGGCCGCCATTCCTGCTCTATCCG